CACCCTGTATACAGATTGTTTCATTTTAATCGCCCCAGGCAAGTGTCTCGAAAAATATGAAAGATACGGAAAAACGTTTCAGACAAAAGTTGTTTGGTTCGAAGGGGGACATAAGATGGTGTCGTTGGTTCGATCTTGAGTGAAAGTGCCAAGGTCATATAGAGTTCAACTTAATTTTTCTTAATGGAACCCCCTACTTTACATTGCGTATTCTTGTAGCTTACCTCGAGAGCTTTTCAAAACACTATAATAAAGTGCTCTTTCATTCAGTACTTTTTGAGGTTTGAAGGCTACAGTACCGCCGGCATTAGCATTACCCAAGATCGATCCGGCCAGCGAATGCAAGTCCCAAGATCGATCCGGCCAGTAAAGGCAAGACCCAAGATCCTGTATCGCGTCGTTTTTCTCCCCTCCCCCTCCCCTCGGCTAACTGCAATTTCTACTGACTACACGGCGATAACGTATCGATTGCGATTGGGCGCACGTCTAAGAAAAACGCGCCGAGAAGATTAGGAAAAAGATATTTGAACATTTCTGATAACTCACGAGTGAAATCTCGAAAACAGTTTTTTTTTTTCTTTAATGCCACCTCTGTTTAAAATAATTGACCGAGAAAAGGGGGCACTTAATTATTTTAATCGTCGAAAAAGGTACATCTGATTTGTGGTGAGAACGGCGTTCGATACGTGTATTATGCAGATACTTAATTCCGCTTTAAAACGGTCTTATTTCACGTGCTTTCGCCGGAATTAGTATCAAGTGGTAAAGTGTTCCGCGCGCGAGAACTGCACTTCAAATATCACGTATAGCAGCGCTGGAAGTATAATAACTACGAAAATATTAACCTTTGTGTCTGGAGGGGGGAGGGAGCGGTGTATATAAGCGCGGTGTGCGTGCGCGCAGCATGTAACTACGTTCCCGGGGCACTTCCTGCTGATCATTTAACGAGTTGAATATTCAACTACAAGCGAGCACGTAAGCAGAGAAATGATGGGCGGGCGTATCTTGATCGTGATAATTCTCAAGTAATTGCCGCTAGGATAATAATTAACACCGAAAGCGTAAGACGTATTTCGCACCTGTACGTCGTGCCATCCGTTAATAATTAGCTTGCTGCCGTCAGTTTCTTATACAGACACCGCGCTCCTTCGTTATTCTTTTTAGAGGGAGGCCCCAGGTTCGAATCCTGAGATAATATTTTTCGCAATAAGAATAATTTACAGTACAGGGAAAGGGCGGTACTGAATGCTAAATGTAGCATTTAAAAATATTATTACAAATCGTTTATCGATTTGAATGTGTGAATCGAGGGAGAAACCGCTGGCCAAAATCTTGTACACCAATGCCCACTAATGTCCATTGGACATTACTTTATCTTATTGTCTTATTTTATCTTATTTATCTTGTTTTGTCTTATTTTATCTTTATAATGCCCTAGGAGGGCCTAATGCCTAAACTAATGCCCAAAAGATGCCTAGTAATGCCGCAAATCTGTACACCACATTGCCCTCAGCGGTTTTCCCCCTCGGTGTGAATCTGCTGACGATAATAACTCCAGCCGTAAGAAAACTGTGTTATGTCCGAAACGAAGCCAGGACAAATGTGGAAAGAAACGGCATATGAATTCACAGTTTAATAAATTACAAGTATAGGCTACAGTACCGGCCAAAAGTATATCACCTTTAGGTTTTCTGAACATAACGTCGAAGTGCACCGAATGTGCTGAAAATTTTACAGTAGACACCTGATAACAGGTACATCTTGTACACTTGAGGGGTAATGAAATTTGACAAAGTACATACATCATGATTTTCGAACTTTTCATTCGAGCACTTTGAAATTACTTATGCTCAAAAACTCGAAAGGTGATACCTTATTGGCCCATAGAGTCCTTCTATTCAGAGTCTGGCTAACGGGTATGTGAAATGATGCGAGAGAGAAAGAAATATATTCCCTCTCGTTCCACGTATAGCAATACTTGTCGTGTAGAGCGAGAGGGAATATATTTCTTTCTTTCTCACATCATTTTGCCGAAACTGCCCGTTGGCCAGACTCTGATTAGAGGGACTCTAATTCTTTTCAGCGCTTCAGCGTTTCCTTCGGAGCCCTTAATTTTATTTGCATTTATTGCGCTTATCGTCGTTATATCAAATAGTCGTCGGTGTGTCCTTTAATATTTGATACATTTCGCTCCGATCAACACTTCACCTGATTAAAATTAACTATCGTTGGCGCTGGTTCCAGCTTACGGCAACTTGGGCAGCATTCTCAGCGAGCAGGGGCGAGTAGCCGAGGCGGAAGAAGCGTTCGTTCAAGCTCTCCGCTATCGACCGAACATGGCAGACGTGCACTACAACCTGTGAGTACCACGTCCTAATTCATTCATATTCTTCTTGTCCGTTCACGTCGATATTCCGTCAATGTACGCGAGCCGCGTGTACCAAAGGATTATACGTATGCAGGTACGAGAACAACGAACTGGGAGAAGCGTGATAGTTTATCATGCTTTGCAATTTTAACAATTTTTCGAATCCGCTAGCAACCAAAAGTTGCAAACGGAAACGCACTCTTTATAAATTCCGTATTATATGTATATTTTTGGAAGATTGTAAAAGATACTTTCGAGCGAAGCTATTATATGCGAAATCTTTTCTCACGTTGCCGAGAGACTCAAAGGGAAAGCTATATTAGCCTCGTGAATTCGTCTCCTGTAAGGGTCTTAAACCTCTTTTTATAAGCAGCATAGTCGTCTGAACTTGGTCCGCTAAGTACGACTCGATGAAGCACGAATGCCGGTAAGAAGATTACCGGGGCGATCCCCATATTTGACCGACTAATTCCTTCCCGATTTTTCCGATCCGCCGCGGCGCGGAATATATTTGCTCGCGCTAAGCCGATCCGGAAAGAGGGTGGCCGGCGAGAGGAAACTCTGTTTACCACTGTAGTGATATCGGGGAACGGCCATGAGCTTCTTAAGCACGTAATATCGGTCAGCGTGGCCCCGCACAACCGCGCTATCTCCTTCCTCACGACGCATTAACGACTTCGTACAAGGCTTACCGAGGATGGCCCCGAGGGAGCTGCTGAAAGTCCCCGGGGTCCTTCGATCGGCGCTCATCATCTTTCGACTAGCTCCTCCTACTAAAGGTGGGAAAGGACGTGGAAGCCTGTCAAGCCGCTGAGTCGATAAGCCTGCCTACCCTCTGCACGCTTCTGATAAGCCGGCTACGTGGCGCGTGGTACGTGCCACGTACTTGCCCCATTATGTATCCACCATAGACGTCTTAGTATGGCACTCCTGCCGGCTAAATTGAACGATAGAAAGCGGCGTATTAATCGATAGCGAAATTATAGCGATTGAAGACGAAGTGATTTTGGCGCGGGGCTGATGAAGTAATTCTGTCGTCATATTAATATGTAGTAATTTCGTAGTAATTTATTATTGATCCTGACGACAGGCTGTGAGAACTTCCTGAATCACCTGTAGGTTAATATATAAAAGGCGTATATAAGAGCCAGATAGACGATATTACACATGGAGTAATTTCGGGATGGAGTAAATGTAGTTAACGTTCATTTCAGTGAATAGAATTGCTTTTAGTTATGTTTGATACATAAATAATATGTCATAATTAATGGAAGGAAAAAGTCTTAAAGATAAGAGAGATGAAAATAGTGCAGAGAATAAGTATAACTTAACTATAATAGAAATATTAAAGTAAAATGTACTTTATACTTTATATATATTGGACATAGTCCGTTATTAATAATTCAATATCGCTTTTGATAGCAGAATATGCTAAGTTTAGTAGAAGAATTTATTAAATCTACTAGAAGTTTATTTTAGAGTTCACTATCAGTTATTTAATTGTCAGGTATTAATTATGTCGGATTTAATATATGTAACAATGTAATTAATCGCCGTCACGAAATTTGCATCGCATATAAATTAGTTAATAAATTCACGGGCGAAATATTTCACAAGACACCCAAATGGACAGTGGAACACGGTAGACAGAACTGGGTCGGTTGTGTAAGAGCGGAAAATCTCATGTACTTACTTACTTATTCAAATAAATTTGCCGGGCAAATTTGTCATACAAATGAAAAAGGTTATTTCGAAAAAAAAGACTTGAAAATCTAATAACATTAATATTTTGTCATACCAATATTACAATTTTGGAGCGCCAATATTATTTCTCGCGATATTACCTTAATTTCGACGCTTAGTCACGTAGCGCCCTATTTCTAAAATAACTTGTAGTCAGATCCATGAAATATCTCATATCAGTCTTTCATTTTTTGACACAGAAAAATTTTTAAGGATTTTCTATTTTTGCTGTAGCTTGGTACAATTATTTATATCCTTATTTTTCTTTAGACAGTTTGAAAAATACTTCCAAGATATACGTACGAGCGTGTAAAATCATATTTACTTTGTTAAGTAATTACTATACACGCTACTTTAACATGCTGAGCCAGCGTGCACTGTGGCTACAAGCGGTTACAAGCAAATTCCGGTGAAACCGCTCGTCCGTTCAGATAAGCCACACCCGACGTTTGTCCCTTCGTGGCACTGACGGTAATACCTCTCGGGCCTTCACAGAATCAGCTTTTAGAGTGAAATGAAGCGCGATGTAATTACCTATCACCTAATCCCTCGACAAAGGTCGAAAAAGTCCGCTGGCATCACCAGAATTTCGGTGATAATTCGCCATACCTATGATTCGGAGCTAGATGTGAACGTTGAAAACGACACGGGAGAAATTCCAGGGCAGCCTGTAACTTAATTAGCAAACGTAGGGAAGATACCTCCCGGTGTTATTAGAGGCAAAATCACAATCGTATATCGTACGTCCTTCATTATGGCTCTCCTCCGTTCTACGTGTGCTCTTTCGCGAAGCGATTTCTCTGAAAAATGACGGCCCATTTGATCACCTTCCGGTTATTATCCCTTCCGATGATACATAGCGCGCAATTATCACCCGACGTACGTTATCGATACGAATCAATAGCCCGGGAAATTTCCGTTACGTCCTTCCATCATCATCCGTGGAAGAAAGAAGCGGTTAATAAGAAAGCGACGTATATATCGTTCGTTCGCTCGCTCGCCACGTTCTCGTCTCCCTCCGGCCGTTTTACTTTCTTTCGCGGAAATTTACGAGCAGATCAGATATATCGCAGGATATTACAGTCTGGATGCTATGAAGAAAATATTAAGTCCACTTCGTGCTTCATGATTCTCTCACAATATATTAAATCCCCATTTTACTTATTGTCTTTTATATATGTTATATATATATATATATATGTCGCAATCCGACTCAGGGCCTGTCTCTCATTGCTTTCGACGAAAATTATAAAATCAGCTGACACTTGTCTCGGCTCTGACGATAGATTGATCTCTGCGATACGCTCGACAATCTCGGTTATTCGGGCCGTGATAACGGGACAACGATTGGCGATCTTGCGCCTACTGTCTCTCCTCCACCGAGGTCGACCCCTAAGGAGACTGATGACAGGGCCGGGGTAGTGGCGACGGATGTTGATTTATTAAAACCCCGGCGTGATCGTAAGTCATCCATCAGCGGCTGCCGGTGAATGGAAAATTGATTAGTCTTCGCCGCGTGTTAGGAAAACCGTGAGGGGGCAAAAAGCTCTCCCCCCGAGCGGGTATCCAAAGAATACATCGTAATTATGTATTACTCCGTTACTCCTGTCGGCAGGTCGATACTTAATTAGCCGCGCCCTCCCCTTGCCCTCTCATTGTTACAACAACGTGATGGTTTGATAATTCTCTCTAGCGAAGACTCGGCGCGCGAAAAAACGACCGGGGGGAAAAAAAGCGCGTCGCAAAACAACGGGCGAACGGGGTAAGCAGGATAATTAATAATTGTAGCGAAGCCACACAGTTTTCCTTAATCGTGTAAATGTATGGTGAAAACCGCGGCATTCGTGTGTTATAGATAATACACAATATAACACAAATATAATAAAGTGATCAAGACGCGATGAGCTAATTACTCGTTTTAAACGTTTGCGACTAAAAACAGCAAAGTGGATCAGACAAACTGCTCGTGATGTTAAACAGCAAAGATTGTTCAAGCTATTTGCAGTAATACGATAATAATCTTGTTCGGTAATTACCTAAGATACTCTATGCCCTTAAAATAGCTAACTAAATTAGCTTACAACGCATTTCGCCGCGAGACGGAAGTTGATTCCCGGCGGTCGTTCAGTGGAAAATGGAATCGGTTGATTCGAGGTGGGAATTGACACCACGTCAAAGGAGGACCTCTGCTCTCTCCTTCCCCCTCCTCTCTCTCTCTCTCTCTCTCTCTCTCTCTCTCTCGCTCTCCCTCTCTCTCTCTCCCTCTCCCTCTCTCCCCCTCTCTCTCTCTCTCTCTCTCGCTCTCGCTCGCTCTCCCCTTAATTGTCGTCGTCGCGACGCCTGGGGCACAGCTT